GCCCACGAGCAGCTAAATACTCGGTTTACGTGACCCTTTTCCAGTCCCTACTGATCGGGATCGTGTGCATGATAACTGTCCTCATCACTAGAAAACACTTGGCTCTTATCTTCACCAACAGCAAAAATCTGCAACGAGCTGTGGCTAATCTTTCGAGCCTTCTCGGAATCACGATGCTTCTCAACAGCATCCAGACAGTGATATCGGGTACACTATTTCTGATTTTTCTCGTCAAAATTTAGTTACTCGATGTTTCGTATGTTTCAAATTTGGTTCGTCTTTTAGGTGTTGCTATAGGAGGCGGCTGGCAGGGGCTTGTCGCCTATATTAACTTGGGTTGCTATTACGCTTTCGGTCTGCCGCTCGGATATTTTCTCGGTTATGTGGCTAGATTTGGAGTGAAGGTGAGTTACTATTATTATTTTTTATTTTGTTTAAAAAGATTTTGATGCTATACTTGTTATTTGCCAGGGAATTTGGGGAGGGATGATTGCTGGAGTGGCTTTGCAGACTGTTGTTATCTCTTGTAATTTGTAAAACAAACTGGAATAAGGAGGTTAGCATATATAGCCATCTTATTTTATTTTATTTTATTTTATCTTGATATATAATACTGCAAATCGAAAACCGAGCTTCTTCTAGTCTTCACGAACGAAATTGGAAAGTATTGCAGGTTGAGCAGACGACAAAGCGGATGCGTAAATGGGGAGGCCAAGACATTGCGAACTAGCCTCTGTCCGGAAGGTCAAGTCCCGGCAAAAAAGGGTACACGTTAGAATGCTCGGATTCGTGTGTTATCGAGTATCAATTTATCGAGTATTAATTTCATGCTATCGGTGTTTGGTTTTTGCATAGCATGTTGCTGATCAATATGTGGGGAATTCAAAATTTGTCTTGTAATATGGTAGCTTTTAATCTCCATGAACAATCTTTCACCAAAAGATGGGTCGCATAAATTTCACCCGACTTATTTGAAAAGCTACTCAATGAAGATTATGAGATAAATTTGAACATTTTGAAAAAGTTTGTCCTACTAAACTAAATTTATTTAAATATAGGAATATGGTGCAATCTAATCAAATAAGTTATAAGTTAGTTTATAGTATTTTTTAAACAGACTCGTTTCAAAATGGAACCAATGAAAGTGCCTATGATGTGAAACATGCTCTTTCAATCAAAAATTCTTCTTTGATTAGCTGGGCTGTATATTATTTTATTTTATCCCATCTTTGAACTAAACTCCACAATTAAGCTAGCCCATAACAGAACAACCAAAAGCTGGCCCAATGAAGCCCAATATCTATTTAATCACGATGCACCAAAGTCTTCATTTTATTGGTAGAAGTAGGTGGGTTCCACAACAGTCCGCGTTATAGGCGCGTATTTTATGAAATGAATATGGGGGAATATTATCTCCATTTTAGATGTTACGAACTCGTTACGGAACTATTTCGTCGAGTTTTGTAACTGTTAGATGAATTTTTCACGACGGTTACATGATGATCTAACAATTACAAAACTGGACGGAATGGTTCCGTAACGGAACCGTAGCATTTCATTTTATCATTATCACCAAACCTCATTGTCTTTAATTCTCTTTATTTGACCTGCCAATAATAATAAAAGCTATAAAGCAAACAGCCCATCGCAATATCCCATGCCTTTGCTTGTTTTGTTAGGTCGAAAGAAAATAAATTAAACTAATACATTTTATTATCAATAATGTTTCTTTGACATATTTTTTTGACACAATTAATGACATAAATAATGCATAAGTATATTGAGTTATTGAGTCAACATTATGTGTAAAATCACGTGATTTTGTTGTGTTTGTATTAGTTCAAACATTATTTCAAACGTTGTGTTACTTAGCACAATCCTTTTATTAAACGTGTGATATTTTTTAAATAGACCCAAAAAACACAATTTTGGATCAGTGAAACTATTGTTACGCTCTGACATTATAGTTAAGCACTTGGTGCTTTTTTTTAATCGATATGCATATTTCAAACTGAAATAAATATGCCAGATTTTAAAAACAATATAAATAGAAATATAACATTTTATAACGCAAATATGAATTTCGTTAAAAAATGTATCATCGATGAGCTGCGTTATTGCTAGGATAGCTCACATAAAATTTGTGGTTTTTATTAGGAGTAAATTATGATGTGTTCAACCTAAAATTAAATAGTACTTATACATAAATTATAATTCTTAAGGATTATTAAAAACAATTATTTTTAAGATTATACTGTACATGTCAATAAATTTGTTGAGTAATAATCAAGTAAACGTGTCCATTGCACCTCAATAACTATATATATATATATATATAATTTTTGTAGTAAATGATCTCATTCATTATAGTTTCTTAACAATAACAAAAGCTATCTAATTTAAGCCTCGTTTGTCAATGAAGAAAAAATATTTTCTACACTTGTACTTATTCTGTTATTCACCATAGAAGGACCGCCCTTAGTTAGCTACTACCTAATCGAAACTTCTCATATCTAATATACTAGTGTTAGCAACTAGTGCGATGCACGGGACATAAAATAGGAAATATTTAATTATTAAATCTATATGATAATATGTCAATTCTATTCGACACAACATATCAAGTCTTTAATAATTTAATATTTATTTAAATATTTTTATTTTTATTTTTCCAATTTATTTTTGTAGGTAAGGATTTTGTTAATTATTAGTTTATAAAATATTATAAAAGTGTAATATTTTTTTAATAATTTAATTAAAAAAATAATTTATAAAATAAAAAGAAGAAGAAGACTACTCCTATAATTTGTATTAAAAAAACTAAAATAACAATATATGACAACAAATTTTATAATAAAATAAATATTATATGGTGAACAAAAATATGTAAAACTGTTATTTTTTATATCAAGGTATATATATAAATACTAAAA